ATATAAAATTGCATCTTCTTCTGTGTTTGGCAAATCCCAAAGACGCATTTTCATAGCACTAAAAAATGGCTTCAAAAATCAGCAAACAACAAGGCAAAAAGGAATCCAAAAGATTATTGCGTGCGAACAACAAGATTGCTCTTCTGCTGCGGTAGCCTTAATATGTAAGTGCGGTGGCGTTAATACGTAAAGTACCTTTACTTTAAATAAAATATTTAAAAGTTTAGAAAATTTTTTTATTTACATTTTGTTATTATGTATGAATGTATGTATATGTTATTATGTATTGGTGTATGTATGTGTATATGTTTTTATGTGTGTATATGCATGTGTACATCAAAATTAAGTCCAGAAATTAAAATATCATGTGCAATTAAAAAGAAAAAATATAGCATAACTAATACTATTTTTTTATTTTAGTCCAAGATTATATATTTCGTGTGTGAACTATTTTATTCATACCAAACGTAGTTTATGTTGCCAAAATAAGATTTCCTCTTGTAGTATAGTTATGATAAACTCTAATACTTTACCCTTGCAGGAGTTATATGTTTCACCAATATCATTTGCTCTTCTGCATTTTAAAATTTACTGTAAAATGAATTAATGATGGAATCATTGGTTATTATCTCTTTAAATTATCAGTTATTGTCTTCTTGAAAGTAGCTATGCTCGATTTTTTAATGGCATTTCTTATGAATATTCCCCATGGGAGTATTTTAAAAAATAACTGAATAAACACAAAAGAAAACTCAGAATTTTTTTAAAGCCATAAAATTGGAGGTTGAGAAAATGCTTCAAAAATTAAATGAAAACGATCTTGTTGCCTGGATAAGATATTTACATAAAATTTATGATGCATTGTTGTCTAGTCAAGACATTTACATAAAATTTATGATGTTCATATCAATAATTATATAATTAAAAATATATAATTCAGTAAAAAAATGCATAACTTTATGAATAGTGACATTTATTATGACGTGGAGTGTATAATATACAGGGCTAGCATAAATGATTTATTCATTTTGAAAAGGCTATATTTTCAAAATTATTACGTGTACACAGATGAAAAATATATGAAAAGAACCACAAACTCTACAAGTTTTTCCACTATTTCACCAAGTTTCCCGGATAAGTGGAACATTGCTTCATCGCTGAATATCAACTTAGTGGCAGAATCTTCGTCCTCCAATGCATCCTGCTTGTTGACGCAAAAATCTAACAGATGAACGGAATCCTCCGTCTTTAGCTGTTGCAGGAGCTACACGTGGTACGGTTTAAAATGCAACTGTTGACACAAAATCTTCCACAGAGCTTGTAGAGACATTAGGAGTTTTGGGAAGCAGGAGATGCTAAAAATGAGCAGTACCGTTGCCAGGATTCGAACCACGGACCTCTCGAATTCTCATCGAGTGTGCTGACCATTACACTACGAAGGCGGGAGAAATAGCTTATATACTCCTCACTTTTAAAGGGCGACCGAGGTTTTAGAGGACCCTATCTCCTAATCCTGTGGTGAAGAATCATTATTCACCACCTTTTAGTTCGGCCGCCACTGTAGAGACATTGGGATTTTTTAGAAGCAGATGTGAAAAATGAGCATTGCCCTCGCCGGGACCACGGACCTCTCGAATTAGCGTCGAGTGTGCTGACCAGTACACTAAGAAGGCGGGAGAAATACCTTATAAGTTTTTTGAGGTATTCCGAAAATCTGGTCAATTGACAGGACGAACATCTGGACAACAATGCTACAAAATGTATGGAATGAGCTCGATTATCGTCTGGATGTGTGTCATGTCACCGAAGGGACACATACTGAATATTTGTAGAGGGTGTATAAACTTGATAAGTTTGTGGTTCATTTCATATGTCTTTCGTGTGTCTACTTTTGTGTACTATGTGTGTGTGAAATACTTTTGAAAATGTAGGCTTTTCAAAATGAATGAATCATTAATGCTAACATTAATTTTTAAAGGGAAACCTGTAATTTCACTTTAAGAATCGGGAAGACAGCAAGCACTGTGGATAGTGGTAGGAATGATGATATATTAGGCAAGCGTTGGAGATTCAAAAGGCATGAAATAGAGGAGGAGATCATGTATTAACAGCTTATTATCATTAATTCTTTTAGGACAAGTAAGGTCTTGATATTCTGTGTTTGTATACATATCTGTATCAAAAGGGTTGTGTATAAGATTTGAAATACAAAAGTATACATAACTGTTTATACACTTTCCCCTCTCATAATTCTTAGTGGGCTCTTAAAACACCATGTAAATATAATTTAAAGCTAAGTACTCGTTTAGAAGGATACTGATATTTTCACATAATCGTTGAATAAAATAAATGTCCATTTTTATAAAAGCAAAAATACTCTCATTTTTTATTTGATAAGTGAAAAAATGTACTAATATGTGCCTTTAATAAAAGCAAAATGGCGTAAACTGAATTATGCCACCTCATTTTTGTGAAAAGCCTGTGTACTCTTATATATGGTAAAGCGTAAGCTCTCTTTAATTTAATGTTATAATACTTGTGAATGATATTTTGAAAACCTCATTTCTAGAAATATTAGATATAGTAGTACTTATTATTTTATTTCATTTTGGTCTGCTCAATTTTTTTATTTTATCTTAATGGGAAGCCTGTTGATCTATCCCCAGGTTTAGAATTTTGGGGACAGGTTATTATTTTTTTATCTAAAAAACACAAACTGCAAATACGGTTCATCACATATTAGATAGGAATAATTAAATTATGCTAACCATGATATAATACTGGTGTGTTAAAGTACTGTCAGGCCATGATACTCTAACTGGTTTCATAATTTATGCAATAAAAACTAGGCAAATAAACTACCTATTGCTATTTCAGGTTTTAGCATTTTCTGAGTTGAAATTTAGTTATCAAAGCATTTTAGTTAACCAGTAATTTTTATGTATATTTTTAAGTATTAAGAATGAGCAGTCTTAATTATATTAACTGTTATATGTACATATATATTTTTAAGAAATAAATTGTGTATTTTTCTTGAAACTTAAGGAAAATATATCAAAAAGTATATGCATTGTAATATTAAAAATATTAACAGTTCATATCTCAGGAATAATTTTAAGTATAGAGGCCAAAAAGGGACTTAAAAAAAGGTTTTGTGTTTCAAAAATAAGTTCGTATCCAGAAACCAACTTGAAATGTTGAAAAACTTTCTTGTATCGAAAAGCTTACTTGCTAAGTGGTTCTAAGGTACCACTGTAAATCACAATGAATGATGTCCCACATAATCCTAAATTTTCAACTATGCAATAATGGAAACAGGAGTTCCATATGTATGCAGAATTTCTACTGTTGTACTGTTATAAGCGAAAATTCAATGCAATGCTAATTAATTAATCTTTTTCATCTCTAAGATTCCATCTTGTATGTAAAGAGGTCTTTCAGAATGTTGCTTAAAATCAATTTTACTTAATATTTCAAATTTTAAATTATGTTTAAGCTTTAATTATATATGTACAGTCGAACCCCACTATAATGAACTGCTAGATATAATGAACGAACCTTTTCGTCCTGTTCAATTTCCTATATACTTAGTTCCATTTTATACTGTAATAATGAGCCTTCAAGAGTACAAAAATCTTCAATTGAAATATTCGGGAAAAAAATGTATTTTTCTCTTTTTCTAGAATTTCTGCAAAGTTTAATGAAAGAAATTTACTAACCATCAAAATCATCCATGTTTAAGGTATTAGAATCATAGTCCACATTCCATACATAAAAGAAGACACCTTGATGTATTTTTTCTTTAAACTTCTTCCTACTTTTTCTGTGTTCTAAACAAAGAATATGCAACACAGAAATGATGCCCAGCTTTTGAAAAATAAGGATACAGTAAGCATATCTCAGGTCACCTTATGGTGTACATGACCATTGAACTGAAAACCGGAATGAGTTCTCTAATTCCATTCAAATTCTTTGATTGTCAGATAGAACTCTATTCAAGGCTGATGCTATGACAGAAATTTTGAAATTGTCGCTATTCTGGAAAAGAGAAAGTACTGAATTTCATGAGATTATAGCTTTACAGTTGATTCTTCTTTTAGGGAATAATTTTTTTTATTATTATTGGTTTGCTTTGTTTGAATTTAAATTTTTTTCATATTCTCTTCTCTGAATAGGGTACATGGGGGCATTCTTTTGCAAGACAGCAGGTATTTTTTATAAAGGTTTTTGAATTTTTAAAGACGAAAATAATGAAAGTATCTTCCTTTTTCATCCTTTGCAGAAGAGCAAAAGCCTTAACATATTCTTTGGCCAAACTCTCTGCATTCTTTTTCTGTGTGAAAAAAAAAAAAAGTTCATCTGCATGGGAGATGGAAACATAAAAAAGCTTCTGCATTGAAGATAAGGTGAGCATTATTCGGAAAATGCAAAATAAATGCAGCCAAATCGAGATCTGCCAGAAATACAGTTTATGCAAATCTGCAATTGGTAGCGTATAAAAATACCGATGTTTTATAATTTCTGCTCATGAAAAAAAATTAGATATGAAAAAAAAAGTTGAGAAAGAGAGAGCATTGCGATACTGAAACAGCATTGCTGAAATGGTTCGACAATTAAAAAAAAGCCATAATCAGTGAATGTCTGGAGAAATGCTTCAAGTCAATAAATTTGCAGACACTTAGGAGATACTGGAAAAGAACGAAAAACAAATTTAATAAACAGCGCATACTAATAAATGTGAATAAACCTTAATAAATTTTTTTTAATTAGATTTATTAATCACTTTTTCTAGTAGATGTCACAAAATTAATCTTTTTTCTTTTTTTCTTTTATTTGTGTAAGTATTATTTATATTGTGTTTTAGATAGTATATTTCCTTTATCTGGTTGAATATAGCAAACCAATTTTTTAGTACCTTGAAGTTCGTTACAGCAGGATTCGACTGTAGTTCCTTATCTCTAGTGTATATAATACTAAATAATGAATTATTGTTGTTGCAGCGAAAGGACAGAAAAACCCAACAGCATTCTCGAGACAGCAAGTCTCCAAGGGATTATGACAGAAGATTAGACAGAGTTTCAGATCGCCGAGATGAAAGGTATGAAAGAAGGGATGACAGATATGATGACAGGCGAGATGATCGAAGAGATGAAAGACGTGATGACCGAAGAGATGGAAGGCATGATGATCGACGTGAAGATAGAAGAGATCGAGATCGCAGAGATGACAGATATGATGATCGGAGGGAGGAACGGTCTAGAAGAGATGACAGAACTGATAGAAGAGAAAGTAGAATTGATGATCGCAGGGATCGCTATGGACCACGAGATGGAAGAGACTCTGATTATCAACGCACAAAACATTCTCAGTCACATTCAGATTCAAGAACTCATGAGAAGCATCATGGACGTAGTTCCCCCACCAGTATGCATCGAGAATCTAGAGAGCGTTCTTACAGTAGTCGCACTGGACCAGATCAGAGGCGTTTAAATAGTTTAGATGTAGAAAGGAGAAATTCAGCTGGTCAAATTATCATTGAACCCGAGGAAAATCTTAGTGATAAAGAAATTTATCCTCATCAGTCACAGCATGTAATTCCAGCTATAGGTAAGTTTAATGAAGAAGTCGGAAATTATTTTTCGTTTTGTCCATAGTTGTAGTACATAGTAATGATCAACATGTGTATGTTTATACATGAAGATAAATTATTTAGCCAAAAGTTATTGTTCAACTATTATTAATTTTTTCTAAGGCTATAGCGATATTATTAAAATTAGACAGCTATACCTAAGATCAAAGTTTAAAACTGGGAAGCGAATCCAAGTCAAGGGAAGTAACTATTAATCAGTATCACCTTTGTATATTATTAATATCTCTCTGCCCTTGGCTTCCTCCTAAGCAGGACTTATTTTGCAGTAATTGATAGGGTAATGCAACACATGCTTTACTGATAGTGCAATACATTCATTTGCATGGGAAAGGGAAATTTTGTGCATAGCAAAACTAGCTAAAGTATTCAAAATTAAAGTAAATGTTAAAAAATATTTTATCAGTTTTGAAACCAGGCTTTTTGATGTCATTAGTTAATTTTCATTTTATGAAACTTCACTGAACCATATATATATTAAATCTCAGTCATAAAAATTAATGTAATGTAATGTTTATGAGACAATAGTAGATCAAACAAAAATTCCATTATTAGATATAAGTTGACCATGACCTGAGGTTAAAATATGTGCATATTTATAAGAATTGCTTGATTAAAGTATGGTAACATGTTCTTAAAAAGGTACAGAATCATAAAATTAAATTATGTGTAAAATTTCAGACTGGCTGTATTAAATTTTAATTGTATATAAGTTGACTAGTCTGCAGTGCAGTGATATGATGTTTATGCCTCATCATGTTTTATTTCAATGCAGTTCTCTAATCTTTTTTTAGTATGATTAATAAAATTTAGCCTTTGAAGTAATTATAACATTCCAATATATTTGATTAAAAGTAAAATAATACCAGATGCAAAATACTGCAAAAAATTTTCTTTAAATAATGCAATGTTAAATAAATTAAAGCTTTCTACAAATAGCAAGAAAGAATCTCTCTTTACACGGGATACTAAATAATTCGAAATATTAAGGAAATGTTTGAACAGAAAGTTAAAGAAAAGAAAGGTTTGACTGAGACCAGAAAGTTATTTGATTTTTCTGTGCAGTTCTTAAGTCAAAAGTTTTCATTAAATCATTACATCAGGAAACTAAGCAATGGGCCTCATAATGTTTCATTCTTAAAAGGATTTACATTTTCTTCCAGTTAAAATTTTTTCCATTGTTAAAATTTCTGTCAATGTTGATGATGTAATGATTACAATTGTATGATCTTTATGAACACAAAAAATATAAAACTAGAAATTTTGTAAAATAGATATTGAGCTATTGTCTGTCCTTGAATTAGAGCAGATTATTGATTCATTGTTCACTGCAGTGGCTAAGCATTAAAGAAGCATAATGGAATGCTTGATTGCTATTGTTCAGTTTTTAGCTTGGAGATTGAACTTCTTATTTTGGGAAAATCTGATAAACTATATGCTTAGGTAATGGTATTTTTGTTGAATTATTTGCCAGATTTGATAATATTGTATCTAAACATTTACTCAGAGTACATCATGAATTAATTATCTGAACATTATCTGGGGAGATAAGGAACATTCGGAATGAATATATTTTTTCCTGGGCCATGCAAAGAAAATATTTTCTGTTGTACAGAATATATGAAAGAATTATTGCAGTCTTTACTTCTCATATTTATTTATATTGGAGAATTAACCTGAATAAGAATTTGATTTTTTTAAATGGTTCCAAGTAATATCATGATATAGGGAAATTTTGTTGATTTAATTACTGTATAAACTACTATATTCTCATGCATTCTTAAAAAAAAATGTTAAAATATGAATATTTCTGCTGCAAACATGAATTGCGAGGGTTACAATGATGCATTAAATGAGAAAGGTAAATATTCAAAAGTTTGAAATAGCACATTAAACTTTTTTGGGGGTTCCTATTTTTTTTTTTTTTTTTTTTCTCTAAATTTGCTGATAAAAAATATTTGCATAAAGCATATTGCATGTATGCTCAAACTAATGGGAAATTCTAAAATAGCTTTCAAATTTTAATTTGGTCCTTAATTAGTGTACGCTGTGGCAGAAAATTTGTATTTAAATATTAAATTTACCGTATTTTAATGGAATGATTGAAAAAAGAATAATATGTATGTGATGGATATGCTATAGTAAACGATCTTAGACAGATAGATTTTAGAACTTACTAATAAAATTTTTATGAACATCATTTGATAAAATTTCAAAATAACTAACAACCTACACTTTCTTTTTCAAATTTTACCAACTATATTGGTAACTATGAGTATACTCTGAGAGCTTTAATAAAAATAATCATGCCCTCATTTTTAATTAAATTTTGCTGATTTAAGTTAAGAAAATATAAGTAATTTGATATATTAAGCTGAATTTATTTTAAAAAATCTTCTTGTAAATTAATTTTTACCTGTTGAAATAACTTTTACCTGTACAACAGTTTAAAAAAAATTGAAATTTTGATTAATTCAAATAAAACCTGATGTCCCAAAAATATTGATTAAGAAGTGAATAATAAATTTCAATAATTTGAACTGTCTAAATTATTAAACTGTCTGTTCAATAATTTGAACTGTCTAATAATTCAGTAATTTGAACTGTCTTAGATAGCTCAAATAAAATCTAGATTTTTTTTCTTTTCTTTCTTTTAAATATACAGGGTGATTCGCTACCAGACCGACAAACTTGCAGGGTGTCTAGGGGGTACAGAGACGACTCGAAGTCACATAGGAATGCCAGGGTCGCAAATGCCGTAGTTGCGAGCTATAGTCCAAAGAAGCAGAGAAAACGAACAGGAACAGCAACACATTAATGACACAGAAAACATTTTATTGAAAGGTTGTAATACAACAGATGTCCGAAATTACGATAAGAAGTCGTCTGGCAGGTCTGACAGCGGTGCTGCAAGGAATTCCTTACGTTCTCGAAGATTATTGGCATGTCACGTATCCTCCCGGCAGCTACAGATATTCGTGTGACGAGGTCTTCAACTGAAGGAATGGGCGTCTCGTACACCAAACATTGGAATGGGCACCTCGTATACCAGACATTCATGTGACCCCAGAAGAAAAGGTCCATGCATGATACGTCCTGTGATCTAGTAGGCCAATGACCTACTAGATCACCGGCCACTACGACCTGTCCACCTCTGTGCAAAGGTTACGTCGAGGACTCGCCAGACATCAGTCGTATAATGTGAAGGAGCCCCGTCATGCTGGTACCACATGGAGAATCGTTACGACGGAGAAACATGTGGCTGCGTCTAGAAGTTCTGACAGGATTTGTTGCAAGAAGATCGGGTATATCCTACCGTCCAAAGGATTGGGCAGAATGTACGGTCCAATGAGGTAGTCTCCAAGAATGCCAGCCCAAACATTGACCGAGAAACGCTGTCTTGCATACGATGAAGTTTCTCCGAAGCCCATACATGAGCTTCATTCTGATAGAAGGCTGCCTCTGTGAAGTATGCTTAATCCGTGAACAATACGGGCACAGCAAATGCGCTGTCTGTAGCACATTGTTGCAGGAACCATGCAAGAAATGTCCTCCGGAGTGGATAATCCTTAGGCTCTAATAATTGGACGCGATGAAGATGGTATACGCTCATTTGGTTTGCTGTGAGTATCCTCCAGACAATGGATTGAGATAAACCCACTTATTGGGCTATCACTCGAGTACTCGTACTTAGATTGTCTTCTGCCAGACATAAGACCCCCCCCTCCTCATTGCCAGGTGACCTTGTCGTTTGCTGCCGATTCATCGTAGCTCTCGTTAAGCAACCAATCTCACGTAACCTTCTGTTCATACTTGCGAAGGTCATGTGAAGTCGAGCACGCCTGTTAGGGTACAACCGCCATGCGGCGTTTGCCTGTTACAATCCGCAGCTCCATACATGATCAGCATGTTGGCCAGTTCATCGTTTAAATACGTGTTCATCCTACTACCTCGTGAAAATTTCCATCACGTCTCGAGGAATGATTCCAGAATGTTGTTAGTTTTCTAGTTAGTGTGTGGGGCTAATACCTACTTACTTAAGGTAAATATTAGGTGGCCTTCCTCACTTCTACATAACATGCTACCTCATGAAACGGAACGCAGGTGACGACTTCCAGCAGGATTGCTGTTCACGCAATCTTCCGTTTAGCACCATCTACCGCAAGACTGCCGGGAGGAATCTTCCAGAACGTAAGGAGTTCCATGGAGCCCCGCTGTCAGGTCAGCCTGACAACTTCTGGTCGTAATTTCGAGCATCTGTTGCAGTACAATCTTTCAATAAAATGTTTTCTGTCCCATTAATTTGTTGCTATTTCTGTTCTTTTTCTCTGCTTCTCATACCTCGCAACTACGTCATTTGCGACCCTGCATTCCTATGTGATTCCGAGTCGTCTCTGTAACCCTTACATACCCTGGAAGTTTGTCAGTCTGGTAGCAAATCACCCTGTATATATATATACATATATGCAAGTCTTTCTGTGTGTATGTGTATATGTGTATTTATGACTACAAAAAGTTAATGACAGTTCCAAGGACTGAGTCTAAAATTCACCTTCTGTTGTCAGCAACATTAGATGCTAACTTAAGTATGTAATTATAATCCTTAGAAAATTTGCAGCTAGTTTTAAGTGCTGCCCCCAAATAAGTTTTGTTACTATATTAAGTCACAATAAACTGCACTAACTGAATTTTAGTTATGATGAATAATTACCATCCAATGCTGCCACTAAATTACAGCCAATGAATCAAGGCATTAAAAATCTAAAATAATAGTATCACAAGAAACTCTTGGATCAAATATTTGATGATTTGTAAAGAAAGCTAAAATAGAACTTTATTATCAACCATCAGTGACTTTTGTATTGCAAGAGAAGAAGCTGTGATATCTGCAACAATAGCCAGCTGTTTTCATGATGCTAGATTCATTGACTGTTGCTTGAATTGCATGATCATGGAGAGT